ATAATAAAATAAAATACTCAATTGAAAAACTCTAAAAAAAATTGAAAAAAAAATAAAAATAAGCAGAAGAAAATTACTATTTTTGCTCTCTTTTTTTTTTGTCTTTTCTAATTCTTTTTTGAAATTAAAAAATATCAATTTTTTGGTTCGTTTCGTCTCGTAGATTTTCTCATTACAAAATAATTTTTTTTTTTTTTTTAATTATGACAAATTTTTATATTTTTGTGATCTGTCTTGTGCAGATGAATTTAAAATTTAAAAAAAAAAATACTCAATTGAAAAACTCTAAAAAAAAAATTGAAAAAAAAATAAAAATAAGCAAAAGAAAATTACTATTTTTGCTCTCTTTTTTTTTTGTCTTTTCTAATTCTTTTTTGAAATTAAAAAATATCAATTTTTTGGTTCGTTTCGTCTCGTAGATTTAGAAACTTACAACTTTTTGAATTTAAAAAAAAAAACACTAAAAATAAAAATAACTAACAAAAAAAATTGCCAAAAAATTAAACTACACATAGCTACTTAAGCGATCTTAGATTTGGCTTAAAATCTAGAATTCGAATTGATAGAGCAGCAACGATTCTTTTACTTATAATCTAATTTTACTAATAAACTAACAACTTATTATTTTAAAAAAAAATAAAAATAAAAAAAATAAAAATAAAAACGTACTTAAGCACCTCACATGTACCAAATTTTCCACGCGACCACCCCACATATGGACATATACCTATCATCCAATGAATGAAACCAATCGGTCTTGTTACAGACCCCTACTGGGGGTCGACCCCGAGTAAGGTGGCAGGTATATAATTACAATATAAGTTAGTAATATATTATAATGACAGCATAGGATTCCCTTTCGGCCCTTTCGGTGGTGCGCCATCTTTCGGCCACTTTTTTCCTTATTATATTCAAAGATATCATCATCATGTTTGTAACAAACTCCTATATTAAGGAGCCTCGCAGACTGAATTCATAACTGAGAATTTACATTACAATTCTCTTTCAATATTACTCTCTCAATTTATAATTTGTCTTTCAATATTTGTTTTTCATACCTATCATCCAATGAATGAAACCAATCTACTTACTTTTAAAATAGAGCAATTCCTAGGAATATAACTCAATCTGAAAACTTTCACCCTGTCACCTAATCTCAACTCAATTTACAAAAAACTCCCTCCCAATAATTGTCAATCTGACGTGTCATCCTTTTAGTGGACCCAAGCTCTCTAAAAAGTGCACAAGACTTCGTAATCCGTATAGCACAGGATTCCTCATTCTTCATTTAATCGCACCGTTTTCTCGTACCATATTGCTTCATCGTCTCTCTCTCTCTCTCTCCCCTCGTATTCTGATCTGTTCAAAAGCTCTCCTCTTTGCAGGTGATTCATGAAACCCATTTTGTTTTTCTGTGTGTTTGTTCCATTTATTGCCTAAATTTATGTTTATATAGAGCATTTCTTCGATGATTCGATTTCAATTTATCTTCTTTGATGTTGATACGTTCATATATATAGCTCTTCTCTTTGTAATTTTTTTTTTTTTTTGGGTGATAGGTTTAAAATCTGTTTGATCATGGTTTGTTTTGTTTGTCTAAATAATGACCCTTTATTCTATAATGTCTTGTTCGAATGAAATTGAAACAAAGTATGATTACTTTTATGTGATTTAATGCTGGTGTTCATTTGTGGGTTTTTGCAATTATGTCAAATTTCATCAATCAGATATTCTGATATGTTTTATCTTTGTTCTGTGAATGTGAAATTGATGAAATTTGCATTTTGCAGTTCTTTAATTTCAAATTTGAGTAAAAAGCTTGATTTGATAGGAACTCCTCTAATCATTTCATCAAATTTTCATGAAAATGTTTTTAAAAATTCTCCTCTTATCCCAAATTTCACTTTTTATCAAATTTTATGAACAAAAAAATCTATCTCCAATGGTTCATCTTTTTAAATTTTCACCAAATTTAAATTTGATGAGTTTTTAATTTGATGAAAAAAATGAGTATTTTGATTTGATAAACATTTGATGAAAGGATTGGAGATGATTTTCTAGTACTTTTTCATCAAATTTAAATTTGACGAAAGAAAATGTGAAGGATTGTCTGCTTGTGTTAATCCTGTCATTCTCATTTTTTATCTGAAAACCATGTTATATTCAGCCCCACAACTATTCCAAGTTTCAAATATTACATTTAACTTGGAATATTTGGGCACAAATATTCCCCTATGAAATTGATGAAATTTGCATTTTGCAGTTCTTTAGAGTATCTTCAATCCTTCATCTTTTCTTTCATCAAATTTAAATTTGATGAAAAAGTACTCAACAATCATCTCCAATCATTTCATCAAATGTTCATCAAATCAAAATACTCATTTTTTTTCATCAAATTGAGAATTCATCAAATCATCCATCAAATTTAAATTTGATGAAATTTGGGAGATGATTTTTTAGTACTTTTTCATCAAAATATAAAATTGATGAAAGAAAAGATGAAGGATTGAAGATGCTTGTGTGAACCTGTCATTCTCATTTTTTATTTTTTGGGCACAAATATTCCCATATTTGTTTGCTCCCCAACCAGGTGCATCACATTTCTATTTTTTATTTTTTATTATCAATCAAGGGAAATATGTTAAATTTAATATTTGAAACTTGGAACCCATTATGTTTAGTTTAGTTTTTGAAAAATGTTTTGGAGTGTGTATTTTTTTTTTTTTTAGTGAATTTTGTAAATATTTTAGTTAATTAATTTTATTTTATTTTTTAGATACATAATCTAGATGTACCTAAAATGTAAAATATTATGAAGAAATCTAAAAGAAAAATCACTAAAGACAAAAAAGAAAAAGAAAAAGGAAAAGAAAAAGAAAAGAAGGAAATGTGCTGATTTTTTTGGTTTTCATTTTTTTTGGGGCGTCTTTAGTGAAAATTTTCAGTTTTCTTCACAAATATTTTACTTTTTAAGTGCATCTAAAAATAACAAAAAAAATTGATTAAAAAACGAAAAAAATTTAGACCAAAAAAAAAAAGAAAAAAAGAAAAAGAAAAACTCAAAACCTGGATTTGAATTTAAAACCAAAAATTAATTTTTAACAATTATGTAATGGGTATGTTTCGGACTTTTTGCCATGTGGTATCGTTTTTTAATAATCAATGCACCTTTTCAACCACCTAGCTTGATGTCAATAATTGAACTAGTTAAAAAGAACGGAATGAATATACACTTAATATAGATAATGTAATTATGTTGTAAATTTGAATTATGAGAAAGCAAAAATATAATAATAGAGATGTGTACTGGGGGGTATTGCTGTGTTTGGCGCTTCTCACCTGTGCCATATATCCATATATACAGATCATTGATAACAACTATACTTTAATGCTGTGTTTGGTTTGTTGAGAGATTTGGGGAGAGATTTGGAAAGAGAAAGGGAAAGGGAAATCGAAAATGTGTGTGAAATTATGTAAAATATAGGCATGATTTATTCACATTTTATCTATCTTTTCCATTTCTCTTTCCAAATTCCTTCCTAAATCCCCCAACAGCATAAATGTTTAGAAGCAATTGTATGACAATTTCTCGTCTGTTAGTGCTTTTTTCTTTTCTTTTTTTTTTCTTTTTTCTGTGCATTTTGCCCTTTTGTTTCTGAAGATTTGAGGCGCTTCTGTGCTTGACTGTTGACCCCCTGCCCTCTCCATTCTAAGCGTGACTGTTGACCCCCTGCCCTCTCTATTCTAAGCATGACTGTTGGTTCATTTATGTGTATAGATTTTTCAGCACTCAGCATATTTGCTACGGATTTCAATCATTTTTCCTACACAGTTTCTCATTTGCAAGGAAATATTTTGACACTTGCTTCTACATTCCTTTCAGAGTTTTTCATATGATTGAAAGCCAAATACCTGGGAATGTGGAAAGATGGGCTTGAATGCTGATAATTCCTTCTCTGAAGACTACGAGACACATTTCTATTTTTTATTTTTTATTATCAATCAAGGGAAATATGTTAAATTTAATATTTGAAACTTGGAACCCATTATGTTTAGTTTAGTTTTTGAAAAATGTTTTGGAGTGTGTTGTTTTTCGTTTTTCCTTTTTTTTTTTTTGTTTTTAGTGAATTTTGTAAATATTTTAGTTAATTAATTTTATTTTATTTTTAGATATATCTAATCTAGATGTACCTAAAATGTAAAATATTATGAAGAAATCTAAAAGAAAAATCACTAAAGACAAAAAAAAAGAAAAAGAAAAAGAAAAGAAGGAAATGTGCTGATTTTTTTGTTTTTTATTTTTTTTTGGGGGTGTCTTTAGTGAAAATTTTCAGTTTTCTTCACAAATATTTTACTTTTTACGTGCATCTAAAAATAAAAAGAAAAAAATTGATTAAAAAACGAAAAAAATTTAGACCAAAAAAAAAAAAAAAGAAAAAAAGAAATAGAAAAGGGGAAAACAAAAAACTCAAAAACTGGATTTTAATTGAAAACGTAAAATTAATTTTTAACAATTATGTATGGGTATGTTTCGGACTTTTTGCCATGTGGTATCGTTTTTTAATAATCAATGCACCTTTTCAACCACCCAGCTTGATGTTAATAATTGAACTAGTTAAAAAGAAAGGAATGAATATACACTTAATATAGATAATGTAATTATGTTGTAAATTTGAATTATGAGAAAGCAAAAATATAATAATAGAGATGTGTACTGGGGGGTATTGCTGTGTTTGGCGCTTCTCATCTGTGCCATATATCCGTATATACGTATCATTGATAACAACTATACTTTGCCTCCGTTTGGGAAGTGGGTTGGCTTTTTGGTTTTTTGGCTATTTTAGCCTGGGCTAAAAAGGTTGGTTTGGGAAGGGCTTTTTGGCTTTTTGACTTTTTTGGCTTTTTTTGTAAGAGAAGAGTGTAATGATTATGGGTTGGATGTGATGTTTCGTTTGTTGTGGCTAATATAGCCTATTTTGCCTTTTGTGCCTATTTTGGTGTTTTGTTTTGTATGACAATTTCTCATCTGTTAGTGTTTTGTTTTTTTCCTTTTCCTGTGCATTTTGCCCTTTTGTTTCTGAAGATTTGAGGTGCTTCTGTGCTTGACTGTTGACCCCCTGCCCTCTCCATTCTAAGTGTGACTGTTGACCCCCTGCCCTCTCTATTCTAAGCATGACTGTTGATTCATTTATGTGTTTAGATTTGTCAGCACTCACCATATTTGCTACGGATTTCAATCGTTTTTCCTACACAGTTTCTCATTTGCAAGGAAATATTTTGACACTTTGCTTCTACATTACTTTCAGAGTTTTTCATATGATTGAAAGCCAAATACCTGGGAATGTGGAAAGATGGGCTTGAATGCTGATAATTCTTTCTCTGAAGACTACGATATTGTTTGTCTATTTGGCTTACCTGTATTTCTCCTCGATGAACTTGGATATGCAATTCATACCACAGTCAAGCTCTGTGCCCAAATGCACAATGAAGCCAGCAGTTACAAACTTCCTGTTGTGTTGAAGCACGAGATTGGTGAAGACGGTTAAGTTCTTCACTTTACAGGACTCCTGCCCTGTAAATAACATTTATCATACTAGCAGGAGAGTATAATTTATAATTATCTCCTAGAGTTTAGTACTTTGAAATGGAAAATAAAGGGAATGTATTGATGAAAAGGTATGATTTTGGGAGATTATTAGGCCAAGGTAACTTTGCTAAGGTTTACTATGGGAGAAACCTTAAATCTGGTCAGAGTGTGGCCATCAAAGTGATTGACAAAGAGAAAGTTTTGAAGGTTGGTTTGATTGATCAGACCAAGCGAGAAATATCCATTATGGGATTCGTAAAGCACCCTAATGTGGTGCAGCTTTACGAGGTCATGGCCACCAAAACAAAGATATACTTTATCATGGAATATGCCAAAGGCGGAGAGCTCTTTCACAAAGTGGCCAAAGGAAAGCTCAAGGAAGATATTGCACGGAAGTATTTTCAACAATTGATTTGTGCCGTTGATTTTTGTCATGGAAGAGGTGTTTATCATCGGGATTTGAAACCTGAAAATCTGTTGCTTGATGAGAATGGAACTCTAAAGGTGACGGATTTCGGCTTAAGTGCCCTTGCCAAGTCTAAGCGTCAAGATGGATTGCTCCACACCACATGTGGAACACCATCTTATGTTGCTCCTGAAGTGATTTGTAGAAACGGGTATGATGGAGTTAAAGCTGACATATGGTCTTGTGGGGTGATCTTATTTGTTCTTCTAGCGGGTTATCTTCCGTTTCATGATTCAAACCTTATGGAGATGTATCGGAAGATAGGCAAAGCAAACTACAAATGCCCTAATTGGTTTCCATCAGATGTGCGCAGACTTTTGTGCAAGAAAAGGGTATGATGGAGTTAAAGCTGACATATGGTCTTGTGGGGTGATCTTATTTGTTCTACTAGCGGGTTGTCTTCCGTTTCATGATTCAAACCTTATGGAGATGTATCGGAAGATAAGCAAAGCAAACTACAAATGCCCTAATTGGTTTCCATCAGACATGCGCAGACTTTTGTGCAGAATCCTTGACCCTAACCCATACACGAGGATTTCCATTGCCAAAATCATGGAAAATCCTTGGTTCAAAAAAGGGTTAAACACCAAATCCAAAAGCATTGAATTGGAAAGTAAAGAAATTGCTCCATTGAATGCTGATGCCATTTTTAGTCCTTTTCGGAACAGCAGTGCTGGTTCTGAGGAAAAAATTGAGTTACCCAAACCTATAAATTTGAATGCTTTTGATATCATCTCTCTTTCAACGGGGTTTGACTTGTCTGGTTTGTTTGTTGAAAATGACCAAAAAGAAGAAGTACAATTTACATCTGCAAAGCCTGCCTCTGCTATCATATCCAGACTAGAGGAGATTGCCGGGCATCTGAAGCTGAAAGTTACGAAGAAGGATCGAGGATTTTTCAAGCTTGAAGAATCAAATGAAGGTATAAGGGGGGCATTGTCGATTGATATAGAAATATTTGAAATCACTCCATCTTTCCATGTGGTAGAGGTGAAAAGGTCTAGAGGTGGTACATTGGAATATCAGAAGCTATTGAAACAGGATATAAGACCGGCTCTCAAGGAAATTGTTTGGTCTTGGCAAGGTGAGCAACAGCATTAACAGCAACAATGGTTACAAGTGCAGGTAAGTGGCGGTATCTTATGGTTATTGGTAATTTATTTTGCTGTTTTGATTGTTTCAAATTAACGTTGTATAGTCTATTTTCGCACGTGTGCTAGTTGGCCTAAGGTTAATCCATTATTGTTAATGGGGAAGTTCCTCCTTATCAAGTACAATCTCTCTTTTGTGTGTTTGTTTTAGTTGCAACTTGTTAGTAGACATTTCTGTTTATCTTTGGTTGTTCTGGAGAAAACTTTTTTTTTTTTTTTTCTCAAGTAAATACATCACACAGACCCTTAAAGTATTCACATAAAGAATGAAAAAACCATCATAGAAAATACTCCAGGAGAAAGTGGAACTGGAATGCGGAATGTCTTTAGAGTTTAGACTAGAGAGTAATATGCTTCTGGTGTGGAAGCTGCTAGACTTTTATGCTGTGTTTGGTTGGGAGATTTGAGGATGGATATGGAAAGGGAAATGGAAAAGGTAGGTGAAATGTGAATAAAATATACTTACATGTCACCTACTTTTGCACACTTTTTTCCTTTCCTTTTTCAAATCCCTCCCTAAATCTCCCAACCAAACACAACGTTAAAGCCATGCCGGGAAAGGTCCAACAACTTGCTCATGACAATAATTCTAGGTATTCAAGTGTAGATTAAGTGATTTCTTTATATTTGTAAGTTAATGGTTAGTTTAATTGCTGTAGAGGTATGTGTTATTCATATTGAAAACACACTTAATGGTGTCATTTCGCCATAATATTTGGTGGCAAGGGTTCGGTATGACTTTCAGTCATGAGACAACAATATGTTTTTCCCATTTTGTTTGTTTATTTGGTTGGTTAGTTTGAGAATAAACTAATGCCTGTTTCTGTGAAGCAAAATTCATGTGAAGTTCTTTGTAAGCATAGAACTTTGATTCAGACAGCAGTTCAAATCACATCCTGAAAGTAAGAAAAACATTGTGAAGAAACAACCTTTTCCATTCAGCATGTGTTCATCGCAGGGCTGGCCCTCGCCTAAGGCCTGTGGCTTAGGTCCCAAAATTTTAGCCCAAAAATAGAGCCACAAGTTTAGTAAAATGTTATACGCTCAATGGGTGTCTTTTTTTTTTTTTAAGATCAATTTAAAGGGCCCCAAAATATTTTATTAGGTCCATATATGATTTAGTCCATATTTATTTATAAGTGTAATTTGGCTCATATTTATTAAAATAAAAATATATATTAAAAAAAAGAAGTGTTTGCGCCCAAGAACAATACATACAATATATGAGCCCTAATTTATTTATTTTTTACCTTCTTTATCTATTAGATTTTAGTGGAATAAATAATTTTGCCATAATTTTTTTACCTAGGTCTTTATCAGTTTTAATTGAATAATTTTTTCCTAATTTTTTTGTTCTAATTTTGTTTTATTAAATTGTTTTGTTTATAATTTTAATGATTATACGTGCAAGTAAATTTTTTTGTGACTACAAACAAATAAAAAAGTTGTAACTTATTGTTTTATCTATAAATTTTTTTTTTTCAATGTAAGAGGGGCCTATTTCCGAAATTCGCCTTAGCCTCTTAAGTCTGAGGCCGGCCCTGTGTTCATTGAAAGAAAATGATTCTAAGAAAGATTTTTGCAGCACCCATAAACGAAAATCCCTTAAAAACTTGGGATTTATAGAATGTTTCTCAATCTTTCCTATATATTTTAGGTACCATTTCTCAGTCTCTCATCAAGCGTTCCATTTATCAGCAAACAATTTTACACATCATTTATAGACTTCTGGTTCCTTGGTGCTGCTTAACTTTCCCGTTTCTCAATATTATGTGGTATGGTTGACATTCAAGGATTAATGTCGCTTGTCAACGCAAGCTGTGGTTGGGTTTATGGTGGTTGGATTTTATCAGTGGATCGACTGCTTGGGTCATTGGTTGGCAACCCCTGCAGACTTTGAGATAGATAATAGCCCTAGCGTATGTAAAAGAGATTCATCACGTAGGTTATGTTTAGAGAGTTAAAAGATGTGTTGCTAAAGTGTCGGAGAAATGTCTGATATTATGAATTTAAATTTTAATAAGACACGAAGAAGTGGGTGACACACTTTTAAGAGTTTCCATGGAGCCTCGTGTCTGACACAGCATGCCTTTTTTTATATAAGTGTCTGTCCTTCTTAGATCCTTGGTAGTTTAGTTGGTGGTTAGGCTATCGTATTTGTGGTTCAACTCGCATTGGAGCTTTAGCACCACCTTCAACCTCTCCATCTTCCAACCTACCAGCAAACAATTTTATGTGTTTGTGTTTGTGTGTGCGTGTCTCAACTCTGTGGGTGCATATATGCCTTTGTTTCGGACAAACCCTCCCCACTGTGTGTGTGTGTGTGTGTGTGTGGAAGCCCTCATTTCTATTGCAGTTGGCTTCAAAGGCCCAATTCACTCTCAGAGATCTTGATTGTCTTGGTATCCGAGTGGTTTAGAGGGAAAATTTTCAAATTCATGATATACTGGTTCATTGTTGGATCAAACATTCATCTGTTTACAGATTGTTGGCAAACATCCATTTCTGGTGTAAATCTTGGTACCAAATTTGTTACTTTGTCTGTCTTAGCCAACAAATACTGATCCTCAATGCCTATACACATAGACCTCTCCAAAAAAAAAAATCAATTCCTTAAGTAAGTTTGTCATGCATGCTGCTTCCTTTTAAGTCTCCTTACTAATGAATGGGAGCCCCTTAACCCAACCATAATAGCAACCCAAATTGGTTTCCTCTCTTTCCAGAGCAAAAACTCCTACTCTTAAATTATGTTCGGATCGTACATTTATTTAGTATTTGTGAAAAGAAAAGAATGGGAAGACAAATATGAACATAAAATGAGCTTTTTATTTTTTAATCACATTTTCTTCACGTTTCTCTTTCCTCTACAAATTTCTATATAAATTTAAGATTCAAACACAATTTTAGTAGAATTAAAATCTCGTGTAATTCGATCTTGAATTTGGAGAGGGGTTTGTGTAGAAGAAAAAAAAAAAACCATAACACCTTTAGTCACTATTACAATAATCAATGAGACTCATTAGCATTCGATTAGGATGGTTGGCGAGATTCAAATTACAACATTCGTTCGATAATAATTCATTTTAGCTAGACCCAAAATACGGAAAAATTCTTGGGTGTAAATAAGGTATTATGTGACATGTCACATGATGCCTTCAATCAAGCACAAACATCATAGCCTCCCATCCCCATCACCCAACACATAAATGTAGCCTTCACTCTCTCAATCAATGAGAGAAGAGAAAGGTATCGTATGACACCTACTCTGTCTACACTCAAAAATTTCTCCAAAATACAAGTTCTACAATAAATTGATATAATTTGGACTCTTTTTTTAAAAAAAAAAATTTTGTAGAAAAAAAAAAAAAAAAAAGAAGCCATAATGCCTTTAGTTACTATTACAATAATCAACGAGACTCATTAGCATTCGATTAGGATGGTCGATGAGATTCAAATTACAACATCCGCTCCATAATAACTCATTTTAGCTAGACCCAAAATACGAAAAAATTCTTGAGTGTAAATAGGATACCATGTGACATGTCACATGATGCCTTCAATCAATTACAAACACCATAGCCTCCCATCCCCATCACCCAACACATAAATGTAGCTCTCACTCTCTCAACCAATGAGAGAAGAGAAAGGTATCATATGACACCTAAAACACAATTTTAGTAGAATTAAAATCTCGTGTAATTCGATCTTGAATTTGGAGAGGAGTTTGTATAGAAGAAGAAAAAAAAAAAAAAAAAAAACCATAATGCCTTTAGTCACTATTACAATAATCAACGAGACTCATTAGCATTCGATTAGGATGGTCGGCGAGATTCAAATTACAACATCCGTTCCATAATAATTCATTTTAGCTAGACCCAAAATACGGAAAAAATTTTGAGTGTAAATAGGATACCATGTGATATGTCACATGATGCCTTCAATCAATCACAACCATCATAGCCTCCCATCCCCATCACCCAACACATAAATGTAGCCCTCACTCTATCTATGACACCTACTCTATCTACGCTCAAAAAATTCTCCAAAATACAAGTTCTACAATAAATTGATATAATTTGGACTCTTTTTAAAATAAAATAAAAAATTAATAGGACTTTATTTTGGGTCCAATGCAAAGGCCCATAAATAATACTGCACAGCTGGGAAGCATATCAACAATGGGGGGACATATTTCCATCACAAGCTGTATCTCACTCCATGGAAAATGGTACAAACAAAAAAGAAGAAATGACTTAAAAAAAATATATAATAATACATATATGAAGATAAGAAGACTCTATCATATTATTCAAAGAGACAAGAGAATAATAATGGGGGTGCAATCAAATCAAATCAATTAGAACAGAAAGCATAGAAAACACAGAATTCTTTCAAATCATATATACATGGAGTGTTTAAGTTTTGAGACCACTAAATTGACAATGTGTCGGCCACAATGATATGAGCGTGTTAGTGGACCGAAATATTTCCATCTCTGTTATGTTGTGTTTGGAATATGCCAAAACCACATTGAGAGATTTGTAATTATTTTCATTCAAGTGTTAAATTTTTCTTAAATTTAAATTTAATTTGAGAAAACTTAAAAAGATTGTGAGGTTTATCATAGGTTATATTTTAATGATTTGAATAATTTATTTTGTAGGGTTTTTAGTGTATATCACACATAAAAAAAAATTTAAAATTAATCTTATAATCGTAACTTTTTAATTGTTTTGGATTCGTTTATAAAAAAATAAATGGCAAATATATTTTTAAAAATAGACATCTATTTAGAGATAGAAACAATAAAATAAAAATGCTACGATTCTCGATTTAATTTTTTTTATAGATGATATATACAAAGGATCATATAAAATAAATAATTTAGATTATCATAATAGGACTCATGGTAGGGCCTTACAACCCCTCAAGTTTTCTTACGTTTTAATTTAAACTTAAGAGAAACCTACCCTTTAATTTAATAGAAAATTCAATGAGTTGATTTTAGAAATAGTATAGTGGTGGAATTAGGGGTGAGCAGGGGAAATGAAAAACCTATAATTCAAACTAGTCTAAGTCAAATCCGGTAAGTTTGGTTTGGTTTTTTTAATTTATGGTTTCGGCTTAGTTTGAAAAATTAACAATTCGTTGTTTGCGGATCGGTTTCGGATTATGATACAC